TCCACCTCCTTTCCCTACTAAATGCAGTACCCCCTTAGACCCGAGGCCCAACAAGGACTCCAAAAGATTGTTAAGGACCTAAAAGCCCAAGGCCTAGTAAAACCATGCAATAGCCCCTGCAATACTCCAATTTTAGGAGTACAGAAACCCGACGGACATTGGAGGTTAGTTAGTGCAAGATCTCAGGATTATCAGTGAGACTGTTGTTCCTCTATACCCAGCTGTACCTAACCCTTATACTCTGCTTTCCCAAATCCCAGAGGAAGCAGAGTGGTTTACAGTCCTGGACCTTAAGGATGCCTTTTTCTGTATCCCTGTACATCTTGACTGTCAATTCTTGTTTGCCTTTGAAGATCCTTTGAACCCAACGTCTCAACTCACCTGGGCTGTTTTACCACAAGGGTTCAGGGATAGCCCCCATCTATTTGGCCAGGCATTAGCCCAAGACTTGAGCCAGTTCTCATACCTGGACACTCTTGTCCTTCAGTATGTGGATGATTTACTTTTAACTGCCCGTTCAGAAACCTTGTGCCATCAAGCCACCCTAGCGCTCTTAAATTTCCTTGCTACCTGTGACTACAAGGTTTCCAAACCAAAGGCTCAGCTCTACTTACAGCAGGTTAAATACTTAGGGCTAAAATTATCCAAAGGCACCAGGGCCCTCAGTGAGGAAAGTATCCAGCCTATACTGGCTTATCCTCATCCCAAAACCCTAAAGCAACTAAGAGGGTTCCTTGGCATAACGGGTTTCTGCCAAATATGGATTCCCAGGTATGGCGAAATAGCCACGCCATTATATCCACTAATTAAGGAAACTCAGAAAGCTAATACCCATTTAGTGAGATGGACACCTGAAGCAGAAGTGGCTTTCCAGACCCTAAAGTAGGTCCTAACCCAAGCCCCAGTGTTAAGCTTGCCAACGGGGCAAGACTGTTTTTTATGTGTCACAGAAAAAAACAGGAATAGCTCTAGGAGTCCTTACACAGGTCCGAGGGACGAGCTTGCAACCCATGGCACAACTGAGTAAGGAAATTGATGTAGTGGCAATGGATTGGCCTCATTGTGTATGGGTAGTGGCGGCAGTAGCAGGCTTAGTATCTGAAGCAGTTAAAATAATACAGGGACAAGATCTTACTGTGTGGACATTTCATGATGTGAACGGCATACTCACTGCTAAAGGAGACTTGTGGCTGTCAGACAACCATTTACTTAAATATCAGGCTCTATTGCTTGAAGGATCAGTGCTGCAACTGCACACTTGTGCAACTCTTAACCCAGCCACATTTCTTCCAGACAATGAAGAAAAGATAGAACATAACTGTCAACAAGTAATTACTCAAACCTACGCCACTTGAAGGGACCTTTTTGAGGTTCCCTTGACAGATCCCGACCTCAACTTGTATTTTGATGGAAGTTCCTTTGTAGAAAAAGGACTTCAAAAAGCGGGGTATGCAGTGGTCAGCGATAATGGAATACTTGAAAGTAATCCCCTCACTCCAGGAACTAGTGTTCAGCTGGCAAAACTAATAGCCCTCACTTGGGCACTAGAACTAGAAGAAGGAAAAAGGGTAAATATATATACAGACTCTAAGTATGCTTGCCCAGTCCTCCATGCCCATGCAGCAACGTGGAGAGAAAGGGAATTCCCAACTTCTGAGGGAACGCCTATGAAACATCAGGAAGCCATTAGGAGATTCTTATTGGCTGTACAGAAACCTAAAGAAGTGGCAGTCTTACACTGCCAGGTCATCAGAAAGGAAAGCAAAGGGAAATAGAAGGGAACTGCCAAGCGGATATTGAAGCCAAAAGAGCCGCAAGGCAGGACCCTCCATTAGAAATGCTTATAGAAGGACCCCTAGTATGGGGTAATCCCCTCCAGGAAACCAAGCCCCAGTACTCAGAAATAGAATGGGGAACCTCACGAGGACATAGTTTCCTCCCCTCAGGATGGCTAGCCACCGAAGAAGGAAATGTACATATACACCCTGGAATATTATGCAGCCATAAAAAAGAACAAGAACATGTCCTTTGCAGCAACATGGTTGGAGCTAGAGGGCATTATTTTTAGCAAACTAACGCAGGAAGAGAAAACCAAATGCCCCATGTTCTCACTTATAAGTGAGAGCTAAATGCTGAGAATACATGGACACATAGAAGGGAACAACACACACTGGGCCCTGTCAGAGGGTGGAGGGTGGGAGGAGGGAGAGGATCAGGAAAAATAACTAATGGGTACTAGGCTTAATACCTGGGTGACAAAATAATCTGTACAACAAACCCCCATGACACAAGCTTACCTGTATAACAAACCTGCAAATGTACGCCTGAACTTAAAATAAAAGTTAAATAAAATAAAATCACCCAAACAATTAGTCAAAATTTGGGGCGGTAAGTATGGGGTTCATTGAAGGGATCGTCTTTTGAGGGGAGACTGCAGGCGAGGATCTCCAGGATATAACTGCATCCACTCTATGTCCCCAGTAAGATAAAAATCCCCTGTGTAAAAGCCTGAATATAGAGCCCCCAGGCTCATGCATGCAAATGAATCTTGTACAATTTGTGCCCTTGAGGAAGAGCAGACTTATTTGCTACAGGTAGGTAATGTCAGATGTTTTTTCCCATTCACCTTCTTTTCCTCCTACCCGGTGAGCCTGTACACAGAACAGTCTGGAAGCTCTCAACAGGTACTGTCAGACATGGAGCCATCCCTAAAGGTGAGGAATGTGGAATAGCCTTAGGAACATTTTTCTCTACAATTGCCAGGTATTTCCTCATATTTTTTGGAATGATTTTGTTTTCCACATCTAAGCTCTGTAGTGCTGTTGGATACAGAGGTCCGTTGCTGGAAGCATCTCACGCTTTTCCCAGCTTGACCATACCTGCTGAAAAGCTCTCATGGGTTGCTAAAAATCCTCTCCCTCAAGGGTCTTCATATATTTATGTACATATATTTATGTACATCGAGGAAGGGTTTTCACAGAAACACTCTGAGGAAGCAGGGCCAATATGAGTTTCTCCATTCTACAAAAGGAAGTGCAGAAATGATTGCCAAAAACTCACTCAAGGTCCTCACAACCCAGCCACAGCACAAACAATACGTGGACTGAGGTCTCCCATCCAGTTCCATCTACTCCTGGCTATATCACCTTGGCTGTATCCCTGGGGTGGCAAAGCTCCTGTCCTCACACACGTTCCCTCCTTTTGTTTCAGCTCTTTCTTGTCTTTAACTGAAGCATTGCAACATTCGAGTCCCCAGGTAGCTTCCACATCCTTCCTTCCTCCCTAGAGATAACCACTATACTGAGTTCAGAACCTGTCGTGCCCATGTATATTTAATAGCTTTTTCTTTTCTTTTTTTTTTTTTTTTTGAGACCGAGTTTTTGCTCTTGTCACCCAGGCTAGAGTGCAATGGCACAGTCTCAGCTCTCTGCAGCCTCTACCTCCGGGTTCAAGCAATTCTCCTGCCTCAGCCTCCCAAGTAGCTGGGACTACAGGGGTGCGCCACCACACCTGGCTAATTTTTGTATTTTTAGTAGAGGCGGGGTTTCCCCATGTTGGCCAGGCTGGTGTCGAACTCCTGACCTCAGGTGATCCACCTGCCTTGGCCTCCCAAAGTGCTGGCATGACTGGCGTGAGCCACTGAGTCTGGCCTATTTAATAGTTTTTTATTTAAGTATGCACATATAAATACCATAAAGAGCTGTTTTGTAGATTTCAAAACCTTTTATATCATTCTGCAACTTTTTTTTTTCTTTCCACGATGGTTTAGAACTTTGTCCATACATTAGCCCTGATTCATTCATTTCAACTGTTACTGTACTCTACACTGTCACCTCTTCTCAACAGCCTTGCTGGAAGTCTGCGCCTTCCTGTCTTTCCTCCCTTCCTCCACAGGATTGAGTGTCAGAATTTGGAGCCAGATGGGCTCAGCAGTCCGTCCTGTGCTTCCGGTGAGCCAATCCCCTGCTACGTTACAGCCACTATTAATTTCCACCAGGGTTTATCCCAAGTGATTGGATTAATGAGAATGTTGATACAGTAATTTCACTGCCGCTTCATAATTAGTTCTCAGTGGCAGTTGTTGTAGTCATGATCCTTCTCAGTAGGAAGAGGTAGAGATAAAACTGGAAATAGAGCTTTTTGAAACTACGTGAAGCAGGAAATTTAAAATGGGACCTGGGTAATTCCTACCCAAAAGACCACTAAGACTTGATAAATAAAACTAAAGTAAAAGTTGTGCTTTGGGCATGTTGGGAGACATATGTAGGAATGTCATTTTCTCAAAATATTCTGATAAGATAATTAAACTAAACCATAATCAACTGAAAACTCTTTCTTTAATATGGAGAATTATATGGCATAAAAGCAGAATAAAGCTGCATATGTTGAACTGCTGGGTTAGGTGGCCATGAGAGCTGCGCATTGTCTGAGCTCACCATTCTAGGGGAGACAGATTGTCAAGCCCGTCCCTCTGATTGCAGCTGCCAGTTTCGTAGCAGTGAGATCCATGTCATTTACCCCTGGAGCCGAGCACATATCTAGTTTTTCCATTTGTAAAATGAATTGTTTAGCGAAGGAAGAAAAGTAGCAACAGTGAAGTTGTATTGGCACATAAGAATTTCCTAAAGGCTGCCCATGAAAAAAAGAATATACCAAGCTGCCAGAAGGGCTATAGAGAAGCTCACACATGGCAGCTACAAACAGGAAGGGAGGAAGCATGTCTACAAATGTTATAACGAAGCCAAGTTCATTCAGCAAACACCAGCCAAGGGCTTTCTAAGCCCAATGCTACAGCCTGAAGAGAAACAGAAAGGGCCTAAAGATAAGGGAAAGGAGGAAATATTTACTGAACATCTACTCTCTAATCTTATTCATGTTGAATTTCATTTTTACCACACAGAGAAGTGGATGCAAGCTCCATTTTGCTCATGAAGATGTTACAGGACCAACAGGTTGGTATACCCATTGCACAGTAACAGACCAACTACACTGAGACAGCAGAGTTTGCAGCAGAGAAAGAGTTTAATGATCACAAGGCTCCAAGAAAGGAGATGGAAGGAGACCCTCAAATCCATCACCCTGAGGAGCTCTAGGCTGGAGTTTTTAAGGGGATCATGGAGGGCAAAGGGGTTGGAAAATTGAGGTCCTTCATTGGTTAGAGGAAAGGGGATGAAATCATCAGAATATGGAAACTACATTCTTTGGTGAGTCAGTTCCTGTGAGGTCCTTCAGACCAGCTGACGTCAATAGCTTCATTGGTATGCAGAACCTGAAAGAATATCTCAAATGGAAAATGTAACACTTTATAACATTCAAGCTGTTATCTATAGAGCAGTTAAGGGGAACTATAATCTTGCAGGGTCTACGTGATTCTGAGGCAACAGGCACCAAACAGCTATAAGGAAGCAGGTCAGAGAGCAGGCTGTCCTCATGATTAATACTGAGTGTGCTGCAAGCTTGGTTTATCTTCCTTTCTTCCCCTTCCTTCTTCCATGACTAATTTTATAAAGTGTACAGGGATGGCTTCAAAGATGCCAATACTGAGAAAGGCTGTCTAATGGAGCCACTGCGATTCAGCTAAGCAGCAGCAGACCCAGGATTCATGCCCAGTTCTCTCTGACCTGAATGCCACCGGCTTCCCGAAGCAAACACGGCATCTCTCCAAAGGAATGGTCCTAGACTTTGAAGAGCTTACAGCCTAACAAAGGAGATCACTTCAGTTTAATTTAAAAAATAACTCATTAGAAAACAACCATGGACAGAGAGATTGAGACTTCAGTACTCCTCATAACCAGGTAAAGTTCAGCCTATGAAATTTTATCTGTTTTCTTCCTACATTCTAGAAAAACACCACCTGAATGTTGTCATTTCTTCTATTTCTGTTTCCTAGGTTGATTTCTTTACAATCCACCTGACCACATGGATTGAAGTTTGTCATGAACATTGTCACTTTTTGTATCACCCAGGGTCTGAACCTCCTTCCAACGTTTGGGGTGTTCATAATCTTACAAATTTTAGTGAGAGGCAGAGGCTACCTCCCACTACAGGGGCCAAAAATGCCAACTGATTACCTTCTCAGTCCCCTTGCTGCTAGAACATGATCACATGGCCGAGGCTTTGAAACAGGAGTGAGTGAGGCAAGGAAGCAAAGACCACAGATGATTCTGAAGTTTAACGAGATTGAGCCCCTGGAGGAAGAGTGGTATAGTGCTGCGGCGGCAACCTGTGTCCAGAGCCAGGGCTCCTGGTGCTGGTACTGAGGGTGTAGTCTTCAGCAGGACAACAGTTGTGTCCTCCCCAGACCAGTTCTGTACTGGAATGTGCTGGGATTATATCCCTTGGTCCTGGCTTAGTGGCCTCTGAGCCCAGGTCTGCACATCTCTACTCTTCTACTGAGCTAACCAACATTATTTCTTAGACTATTTTAATCGATAATGAAGCTTAACTATAAAACTTGGACAAATCAGTTAAATCCTGCTTGCCTCCCCACAGAGAGACAACACACTGCTTGGAATTGGTGTCACCATTTGCATGCATCTTTAATACTTTATATTAGGGAACCCTGAGCACTACACGGCAATCATCCTGTATATTCTTAAACTTCATACAAATGGTGTCATACTCTATGTATCCTTCTGAAATTGGCTTTATCTCACTCAACACTATGATTATGGATTATCCCAGGATGATACATGTGGCTATTAGTTCACTCATTTTTACTGCTGTGGCTCTAATAGAATTCCGCTGAAAGAAGGTATCACAATTTGTACATTCCCTTATGGGCAGACATATGAGTTATTTCTAATGTTATGTTAATATAAATAATACTGCTGTAGACCCTCTGGTACATAGCTCCTGGTCTTTGTGTGCCAGGGTTCTTAGAAGGTATATTCCTAGGAGTAGAATTGATAGGTCCTACCACATGAGCCTCCCCAGGCTTACTAGATACTGCCATATATCTAGTTCTCTAAAGTGGTTGTATCTTATATTGGCTTAACAAGTTCCTTCTGCTTAAATGAGCCAGAGTTCATTTCTATTACTTTTTGTTTGTTTGTTTGTTTGAGACAGTCTCGCACTGTCGCCCAGTCTGGAGTGCAGTGGCGTGATCTCCGCTCACTGTAAGCTCTGCCTCCCGGGTTCACGCCATTCTCCTGCCTCAGCCTCCCGAGTAGCTGGGACTACAAGCACCCGCCACCACACCCGGCTAGTTTGGTGTATTTTTAGTAGAGACGGGGTTTCACTGTGTTAGCCAGAATGGTCTCCATCTCCTGACCTCATGATCCGCCCGCCTCGGCCTCCCAAAGTGCTAGGATTACAGGCGTGAGCCAATGCGCCCGGCCCATTTCTGTTACTTTTAACTAAGAATACAGTCTGATGTTGGGAGACAATTTCCATGGGTTTCTCACCTTTCTACATGTCTTAGAGCTGAGGTTATTACTGTCTTTGTTCCAGGGCATCTTTCCAAGGATTTTGGAGAATGAAAAGCTTTGGAAAACAGAGGTAGGGTCTCAGAAGCAGAAGGCAGGGCATATATATTCTCTGTGCAGAATAACAAAGATAATGTCTCCTTCCAGGGCAAAAGTCAAGTAGGCTTAAAGTCATCATAAAAGATTCAGGTTACTTAGGCTTGGGATTCCTTTCTTGAAATGAACCCCACTGTGTATGCAGGTATCATCTAAATATCTTCACATCCCTGGGGCTCAAGGAAGCAGTATAAATGATGGTATTCTGGCTATAGTCATTGCAATAAGTAACTGAGTCCTTTGTCTCTGACTCAGGAGCCTCATGCCTTCTGCCAGCATCCATGAAACTCTGGCAAGCTGACTTACTAGCTTTCGAGCAGGATAAAATCTCAGACCCTTCACAGTCTTTGAAAAATGACACAGAAAGTAGGGTAGTTTGCGCAATCAACCCTCAGGGAAACTAGGAGGGGGACCTGAGATTGGTTGTCTGAACTGATCACAGCTTATGACACTTAAAAAAATTAATATTAAAAAATGAGACTTTCGCCATTCATGTGTACACATTAGGAATGCTCCCAGCTCTAAGCAATGGAATATTGATGTTAATAGTGGCTTAAGCAACAAAGACTTAATTATATCATGTAACAAGAACTCTGGAAATAAGAATTGCAGAGCTGGTACAGAAGCCCAGTGAGGCTAAAGGCCCAGGCTCCTTTTTCCTGTTCTGCCCTATCATCCTTAGTTGTCGCCTCATTGTTACAGCTTCAGGCAGCTTGCCTGCATCAAGGTAGGAAGATGAGAGAAAATCTGGCACCAGTTGTATCTATTCTTTTAACCAGAAAAACAAACCATTGCCCTGAAGGTTTCTGGACTGGGATAAATCCATCACTACTTATGACTTTCAGCTGGGCAAATGCTACCTGCACCCAACACAACCAGTAAACAAGGAAGAAGAGGCCAAAGGAAAGCGGGATGAATGTTCGACAAGGATCCAACAGTGTCTGCCACAGTCTACCCAGAGATCCCCCAACATCCCAATATCTGACCCAGGTGCCATATCCAGCTCAAAGTCCAGGATCTTAGGTCCAAATGTGTCTTCTCAAGGTCTAATTACCTGTAAGCTAAAAGAAAAAACAAAAAACAAAAACAAAAACAAAACAAAACAAAACAAAATTATTTAATTCACCTGCTCAACAGTATTAAGGAAGTAATAGAATAAGGGAAGCAACATTTTTCAGAAAAGAGAAAAATACAAGGCAGTCACCCATCCACAACTCGCATGCCATATCCCACTAAAAGTGAACAGAGCAGACACACTGGTTGGCAGTCTTGAGCTCTTCACTGTGCCAGGCCAGCAACACCTGGTTCTGCCTTTGAAATGACCCTCTCTGTCCATTGGCCTCTTTGCCCCCTTGTCCTGGACCCTGGAGGCGCTGCCTTGCCCACTGCCCTCCACAGCCCCTCTGAGATAGGAACTGAGGAGGATGCCCTGGAGTTACATGATTTTCACAGTCTTTTTTATTTTTTAGAGGTGGGATCTCACTGTGTTGCCCAGTCTAGTCTCAAACTCCTGGGCTTAAGCCATTCTTCCACCTCAGCCTCCCGAGTAACTGGGGTTACAGGCACACACCACTATTCTTGGCACAGCCTTTTTTTTTTCCCCTGGTACATTGTTTCTTATACACTTTTATAAGGCTATTATGTACATTCTTAGACAAGTCTTTCTTTGGATACCAGGAACCAATTTTTCACCTATCCAATTAGAAAAGGTCAAAATCTTGGATAACACATTGTGTTGGCAAGGTCATGTAGGCAGCCACTCTCATACTGCTGATGGGAGCATAAACTGGAACTACTTCCATGGAGGGCAATTTGGCTAAATATATTACTCACATATATATGAGTAATTCTGAGATAAATATAAATATCTATCTATATACATTTGACTCTATACATATACATTACTCATGCAATGTCTTTTGACTAATTCCATTTCCAGGAATGTATCAAACAAATGTATTTACGCATAAAAACGACAGTTCTACAGGATTATTCATTGCAGCTGTGTTTCTAAAGCACAAGCTTGGAAAGAACCTAAATGCCAATCAACCAGGGATGGCTGAATAAAATATGGTACATCCATACAATGATATTCTATGCAGAACTCATTGTATATTGTATACCGAGAATGCTCTTAACTTAGATCTCCAAGAAACGTTGTTAAAAACAAATTCCAGAAATTCACTTCCCGGGTTCTCCAGCACGTCAGTCATGGGCACATGATCTAGACTCCACCAATAAGAAACACCTGGGCTGGGCCAGGCACGGTGGCTCACGCCTGTAATCCCAGCACTTTGGGAGGCCGAGACGGGCGGATTACGAGGTCAGGAGATGAAGACCATCCTGGCTAACATGGTGAAACCCCGTCTCTACTAAAAAATACAAAAAAAAAAAAAATTAGCCGGGCGTGGTGGCGGGTGCCTGTAGTCCCAGCTACTTGGAGGCTGAGGCAGGAGAATGGCGTGAACCCGGGAGGCAGAGCTTGCAATGAGCCGAGATTGCGCCACTGCACTCCAGCCTGGGAGACAGAGCAAGACTCCCCCTCAAAAAAAAAAAAAAAAAAGAAAGAAAGAAAGAAAGAAAAAGAAACACCTGCGCTGGGTACGGTGGCTCATACCTGTAATCCCAGCACTCTGGGAGGTCAAGGCAGGAGGATCACTTGAGGTCAGGAGTTCAAGACTAACCTGGCTAACATGGCAAAACCCTGTCTCTACTAAAAATTAGAAAAAATTAGTCGAGTATGGTGGCACATGCCTGTAGTCCCAGTTACTCAGGAGGCTGAGGCAGGAGAATCCCTTGAACCAGGGAGATGGAGGTTGCAGTGAGCCAAGATCACGCCACTGCACTCTAGCCTGGGCGACAGAGGCAGGCTCCATCTCAACAACAACAACAAAACACCTGCTGCAAATTTTGAGCCAGGAGGCACTTATGCAAAGAAGTGAAAGCCGCAGATAATTCTATCTGGCAGCATTGTACCAAGAATGAGCTCCAGGACCACAATGGCTATTGCTCGTCCAGAGCCAGAAGTGTCTGCGGTACTATACACTTCTGTATATACAGTGGCAGAGGCAGTAGTGATAGTCACATAGAAATAGAACCAATCCTATAAAAGTAATTTTGATCATGGCTCCTGGTTATGTAGCCTTCAAGTCTAGTTTTCCAAGGCCTTTCACTGAGTGGGTGTGAACTACCCAACATCCTTTTAATAAATCGCTTTGCTACTAATGTCCATCAGAATCAGTGTTTGTTACTTGCAATTAAGGACCCTGATATATGAGTCGTTTTCTGAGGATAAGTGATTCAGAAACATCGAGGTTCCAGGCACACCCAGAAAATTGATGGTACAGTAACACTAGAAGCATATCAACATGATTGTGTGGGCTATGGTGCTTCTTAGAAAAACGACTTAAGCTCTATTCTTTTCTGGAGTTCATCCACATCTTGCATAGATACTGTTGGAATGGCATATATAGTCCTTCGTTCAGGAGGGCTGAGGACCCTACAATGATTAATTTTACATGTCAACCTCACTACTCCATGGGGTGCCCAAATGTTTGGTTAAATATTATTCTGGGTATGTCTATAAGGGTGTTTCTGGATGAGATTAACATTTGAATCAGTAGACTGAGTCAAGCAGATTGCCCTCCCCAGTGTGGGCAGACCTCATCCTATCAATTGAAGGCCTGAATTTTAAAAAGGCTGAGTAAGAGGGAATTTACTCTCTCTGTCTACCTGATGGCCTTGGAGCTGGAGTATTGATCATCTCCTGCCTTGGAACTTGGACTGGAGCTTGTACCATTGGCTCTCCTGGTTCTCAGTCTTTGAATTCCAGATCTTGGTACTTTTCAACCTCTGTAATTACATGAGATAATTCCTTATATCTCTTCATCCATATCCATCCATACATAAGATATATAAGACATACACACACATACACACACACACATATATACACATACATAGAGGTATATCTCATTTCATTGAGCTTTGCTTTATTGCACTTGGCAGACATTGTGTTTTTTACAAATTGAAGGTTTGTGTTAACCCCATGTTGAGCAATTCTATCATTAAGATTTTTCCAACAGCGGGTACTCACATTGTGTCTCTGTGTCACATTTTGGTAATTCTCACAATGTTTTAAACACTATTCTTATGATTATATTTGTTATGGTGATCTGCGATCAGTGATCTTTGATGTTACTATTGTACTTGTTTTGGTGGGCCACAAACTGTGCCCATGGAAGATGGTGAACTTTATCAATAAATGTGGGTGTTCTGATTACTCCACCAACTGGCTGTTTCCTCATCTCTCTTTATTTCCCTGGGTTTTCAGATTCCCTGAGATACAATATTATTGAAATTAAGCCATTGAAGAACCCTACAATGGTCTGTAAGTATTCAAGTAGAAGGAAGAATTGCATGTCTCTCACTTAAAAGCTACAGGCCAGACACAGTGGCTCATGCCTATTATCCCCGCACTCTGTGAGGTCAAGGTGGGCAAATCACTTGAGGTCAGGAGTTCAAAACCAGCCTGGCCAACATGGCGAAACCCCATCTCTGCTAAAAATACAAAAATTAGCCAGGCATGGTGGTGTATACCTGTAATCCCAGCTACTCCGGAGGCTGAGGCAGGAGAATCATTTGAACCAGGGAGGCAGAGGTTGCAGTGAGCCGACATCATGCCACTGCACTCCAGCCTGGGTGACAAAGCAAGACTCTATCTCAAAAAAAAAAGTTAGAAATGATTAAACTTAGTGAGGAAGGCATGTCTAAAGCCAAGATAGGTGAAAAGCTAGGCCTCTTGTGCCAAACAATTAGCCAAGCTATGAATGCAAAGAAAAAGTTTTTGAAGGAAATTAAGAGCTACTCCAGTGAACACACTGATGATAAGGAAGGGAAACAGTCTTATTGCTGATACGGTGAAAGTTTGAGTAGTCTGGATAGAAGATCAAACCAGCCACAACATTCCCTTAAGCCAAAGCCTAATCCAGAGCAAGACACTAACTCTATTCAATTCTATGAAGTCTAAGAGAGGTAAGGAAACAACAGAAGAACAGTTGGAAGCTAGCAGAGGTTGGCTCATGAGGTTTAAGGGAAAAAGGGATTTTCATTACATAAAAGTGCAAGGTGAAGCAGCAAGTGCTGATGTAGAAGCTGCAGCAAGTTATCCAGAAGATCTAGCTAAGATCATTGATGAAGATGGCTTCACTAAACAACAGATTTTCAGTGTAGGCAAAATAGTCTTGTATTGAAAGAAGATGCCATCTAGGATTTTCATAGCTAGAGAGAAATAAATGCCTGGTTTCAAAGCCTCAAAAGACAGGTTGACTCTCTCGTTAGGGGCTAATAAAGCTGGTGATTTTAAATTGAAGCCAATGTACTATCCATTCTGAAAATCCTAGGGCTCTTGAGAATTATGCTAAATCTACTCTTCCTGTACTCTATAAATGAAATAACAAAGCCAGGATGACAGTGCATCGGTTTACAACGTGGTTTACTGAATATTTTAAGCCCACTGTTGAGACCTACTTCTCAGAAAAGAAAAATTCCTTTCAAAATATTACCATTCATTGATAATATACCAAGTCACCCAAGAACTCTGATGGAGATGTATAAGGAGATTAAGGTTCTCATGCCTGCTAATACAACATCCACTCTGTAGTCCATGGATCAAGAAGTCATTCTGATTTTCAAGTCTTATTATTTAAGCAATACATTTCATAAGGCTATAGCTACCATAGATAATGATTCCCCTGAAGGATCTGGGAAAAGTAAGTTAAAAACTTTCTGGAAAGGATTTACCACTCTAGATGCCATTAAGAACATTTGTGATTCATAGGAGAAGGTCAAAATATCCACATTAGTAGGAGTTTGGAAGAAATTTATTCCAACTTTCATGAATGACTTTAAGGAGTTTAAGTTTTCAGTGGAGGAAGGAACCGCAGGTGTGGTGGAAACAGCAAGAGAACTAGAATTGGAAGTGGAGCCTGAGGATGTGACTGAATTGCTGCAACCTCATGATAAAACTTGAACAGATGAGGAGTTGCTTCCTATGGATGAGCAAAGAAAGTCATTTCTTAAGATAGAATCTATTCCTGGTGAAAATGCCGTGAACATTTTTGAAATGACAACAAAGGTTTAGAACATTCCATAAACTTAATTGATAAAGCAGAAGTAGGGTTTGAGAGGATTGACTCCAATTTTGAAAGAAATGCTACTGTGAGTAAAATGCTATCAAACATCATCCCATGCTACAGCAAAATCTTTCCTGAAAGGAAGAGTCAATCAATGTGAGAAACTTCATTGTTGTCTTATTTTAAGAAATTAACACAGCCACTCCAACCCTCAGCAATCACCAACCTGATGAGTCAGCAGCCATCAACATCAAGGCAAGACTTTCCACCAGCAAAAACATTATGATATGCTGAAGGCTCAGATGATCATTAGCATTTTTTGGCAGTAAAATATTTTTAATTAAGGTATGTACATTGTTTTTGGACCTACTGCTATTGCATACTTAATAGACTACAATATAGTGCAGACATAACTTTTATATGCACTGAGAAAACAAAAAATTCATGTGACTCACTTTATAGCAATATTCACTGAACCAGCAATGTCTCCAAGGTATGTCTGTGTGTATACATACATACATATATATCTCCTATCTGGAGATATTTTCCAGAGATATATTTTCTCTGGAAAAACGCTAATAGAGACCCTCTCAGGAAAGAAATGTTCCTAGAGGAATAAGGAAATGTACTTCGCCCAGTAAGGAAGGGAAGGCATTTATTTAACAAGGTCTGTTAGGTTAAACCAAGATTTCTCTAACTTTGGCTATCCATTCACAGGCCACTTAATGGACATTTGGAGCACAAATTTTAGGTCATTTCTAAAGAGATTCATTGTCAAATTTATGATAAAAATAAAAATACATAAAATCAATACAACTCATTTCAGATCAATGGAAAAAATGACAGTTTGAACTCTTTCACTCTTTGGACAGATGACATAGTTTGCATCACAGGATTCCACATCTGACTGGTTTCTTCTATATTTACCTAAACTTACCAGTTGCAAGTTATTGAGCAGGGCAGCAAGAGTTTGGCTCTGTGGGAGAGTGCTAGATATTTGGGTTGAACAGGGACACGAAAACCCTGGAGAATGACTCACTGAAGACTCCTTTCAACTCTCTGTCAGATGCTAAGTCAATAAGCACATCACACTGAAAAGCTGGAGGGATGACTCTGGGCTTGGCATCAGTGCTGAATGGATTCCTAATCTACTCTTTGGAAAGTAGCTTTTCACGCTCCATTGCAGCCCCTGGAGGTAATTTTAAAATATGCCCATAATACATCATTGATTTATTTCTCCCTGAGAAGAAAATCATCAAATGTTAAAGAAAAGACAAACTTTCTGCAACTGTCCTATTTGTACCATGGGCAGTCTGGTATCTTATCCTCAGTATTAAAATTCATGGTCACTAAGCCCTGAGGCAATAGGTTCGGGCTCTAAAGACTATAAACACATGGCTGAGATAACACTAGTTGAGCAAAGCACTTGAAGTCTCAGAAGTAATTTATGACATTATCAGTGCCATGAAGAAATGTTTCCATTTCATTCCTGATTTCAAAAATTCTTGAGCACTGCTTTCTCTTTGACAGGGTACTTCAGTGTTGAAAATGTATTGTACTAGGTGCCCAGTGGGTATAACTTGGATAGACTCACAATTTTCATTATTTTTGTCAACCTTGAATCAAGATCAAGATAAATCAAGATCAAGATCAGCATAAATACCACTGGCTACCAATTGTTCTCAGGGAATAGAGTCATGTGTGAATCAACATTGCAGAGGAGGCTGGGCACAGTGGCTCACACCTGTAATCTTGAGCCCAGGAGTTTGAAATCAGCCTGGGCAACATGGTGAAATCCCATCCCTACAAAAAAACACAAAAATTAGCCATGCGTGGTGGCTTGCGCCTGTAGTCCCAGCTACCCAGGAGACTGAAGTGGGAGGATCCCTTGAGCCCAGAAAGTTGAGTGAGCCATGATCTCACCACTGCCTCTAGCCTGGGCAACAGAGTAAGATGCTGTCTCAAAAAAACAAAACAAAACAAAAAACCTTGCAGAGCAAACCTTTATCAATCAGTGCACTGCCTTGCTATACACATAGGTAAGTATACTCAGAGAAGATACCAACACATATTTATTAATCTATACCACAGCTCATGACCTAATCAGCAACTAAATGAATAACCTTTTCGATAGCGCAAACTTTTTAGTGACAAAGACAAAAAGTTTTCTAAGCTCTTTTCCCTCATGTATGTTTCCCATGCATCACACCTGTGCCACAAGCCAATTCACACTCTACCTACACATCAGGGGTTTTCCTCCAACCACGCATGATTGCAATTGCTCTTTCATATTGCCTGTGATATCCAAGAGCACCATTTTTTAAATGAATTTCTCAATAACTCATTTTGCTTAGCCCCATGTATATTTATCATCAGTTTTTGGTTGGTTTTACAAGCTTCCTATCAACAGTGTTACTAATACCTTTTTCTGTTTTGAGGACTCTGGAATTCTAAATGATATCACTGTAGTTTCAGTCTTGGCTCTGCCATTAGCAACAAGATTAATCAGTTGGACATTTACTAAAGAGGTCTGTGTGCTTTGGGAACAACACAAGAACTTTGAAGGCTCCCTATTATACTTGACAAAGTTTCATAGCAAACAACTTATTAGGGACCAGGTGGAAAATAGATTGCTTCCATTAAAATCCAATTTCTCATTTATTTACTCTCATACTTCTTATTTGCACTCCTCTTTTGACAAATTGTGCGGTTTTACTT